GTGGCGAGAGATCGCAGCCCCCCCGTGCGCCGCGAGGTCCGCGGTGATCCGCGTATGACGTACCTCCGCTGGGCCTCCCAGGAGCCCACGAAAGTGGCGACAGTTGCGCAGATCGCAGCCCCCCAGGGGCGGCGAGGTCCCGTGGTGATCCGCGTATGACGTACCTCCGCTGGGCCTCCCAGGAGCCCACGAAAGTGGCGACAATTGCGCAGATCGCAGCCCCCTCAGGGCGCCGTTGGGCGTACCTCCGCTGGGCCTCCCAGGAGCCCACGAAAATGGCGACAATGGCGCAGATCGCAGCCCCCAAGGGCGCCGCGAGGTCCCGAGGTGATTCCGTCGGTGGACTACCTCTCGCTGGGTCCCCAGGAGGCCCACGAACGTGGGCCGTCAATTGCGCAGTATCGGCAGCCCACCAAGGCCGCCGCGAGGTCCCAAGGTGATCCGGTTGGGCGTACTCCGCTGGGCTCCAGGAGCCCACGAAAGTGGCGACAATGGCGCAGATCGCAGCCCCCAGGGCGCTGCGAAGCCCCGAGGTGATCCGCGTTGGGCGTACCTCCGCTGGGCCTCCCAAGAGGCCTGGCGACAATGGCGCAGATCGCAGCCCCCCAGGGCGCCGCGAGGTCCCGAGGTGATCCGCGTTGGACGTACCCCCGCTGGGCCTCCCAGGAGGCCACGAAAGTGGCGACAATGGCGCAGATCGCAACCCCCCAAGGCGCCGCGAGGTCCCGAGGTGATCAGCGTTGGACGTACCTCCGCTGGGCCTCCCAGGAGGCCACGAAAGTGGCGACGGTGGCGCAGATCGCAGCCCCCCAGGGCGCCGCGAGGTCCCGAGGTGATCCGCGTTGGGCGGGCCTACAAGGAGCCACGAAAAAGTGGCGAAATTGCGCAGATCGCAGCTCCCATCAGGGCGCCGTTGTCCGTACCTCCGTGGGCCTCCCAGGTGCCACGAAAATGGCGACCAATGGCCCAGATCGGAGCCCCCAAGGGCTCGCGCGAGGTCCCGAGGTGAGCCGCGTTGGGCGTACCTCCGCTGGGCCTCCCAGGAGGAGCCCACGAAAATGGCGACAATTGCGCAGATCGCAGCCCCCCAAGGCGCCGCGAGGTCCCGAGGTGATCCGCGTTTGGCGTACCTCCGCTGGGCCTCCCAGGAGCCCACGAAAGTGGCGACAATGGCGCAGATCGCAGCCCCCCAGGGCGCCGCGAGGGCCCGAGGTGATCCGCGTTGGGCGTACCTCCGCTGGGCCTCCCAGGAGCCCGCCAAAGTGGCGACATTTGCGCAGATCGCAGCGCCGCGAGGTCCCGAGGTGATCCGCGTTGGGCGTACCTCCGCTGGGCCTCCCGGGAGCTCACGAAAGAGGCGACAATGGCGCAGATCGCAGCCCCCCAGAGCGCCGCGAGGTCCCGAGGTGATCCGCGTTGGACGCACCTCCGCTGGGCCTCCCAGGAGCCCACGAAAGTGGCGACAATTGCACAGATCGCAGCCCACCAAGGCGCCGCGAGGTCCCAAGGTGATCCGCGTTGGACGTACCTCCGCTGGGCCTCCCAGGAGCCCACGAAAGTGGCGACAATGGCGCAGATCGCGGCCGCCGCGAGGTCCCGAGGTGATCCGCGTTGGGCGTACCTCCGCTGGGCCTCCCAGGAGACCACGAAAGTGGCGACAATTGCGCAGATCACAGCCCCCCAGGGCGCCGCGAGGTCCCGAGGTGATCCGCGTTTGGCGTACCTCCGCTGGGCCTCCCAGGAGCCCACGAAAGTGGCGACGAATGAGCAGATCGCAGCCCCCCAGGGCGCCGCGAGGTCCCGAGGTGATCCGGCGTTGGGCGTACCACCGTGGGCCTCCCAGGAGCCCACGAAAGTGCGACAATGGCGCAGATCGCAGCCCACCCCAGGGCGCGCGACGAGGTCCGAGGTTGATACCGCGTTGGGGCGTACCTCCGATGGCCTCCCAGGAGCCACGAAAGTGGCGACCATGGCGAGATCGCAGCCCCCCAGAGGGCGCCGCGAGGTGCCGATGGTTGATTTCTTGCTGCGTTGGGCGTGGTTCGTACCTCCGCTGGGCCTCCCAGGAGCCCACGAAAATGGCGACAATGGCGCAGATCGCAGCCCGACGGCACGAGAGAAGAGGAGAGGGGAACACAGGAAACATGAGAGGAGGAAGGGAGGAGGGGGGAGGAGGAGGAGGCCGGGGCGACCACACTGCTCTATTCAAAACGAGTACCCAACCATAGGAGGGTTGGGAAAAACATCTTCCCCTTCGGGGAGGGGTTCATCACTATTCCCTATTAACGTACACCCCCTCCCCTAGGCGACTGGGAGCCAACCCGAGTCAATGAGGGCCCCCCCCCACCATCCATTGTAAACAAACAGGACAAAACACACTCTGCCTCCAAATTCGGAGCACGCGCAGCGAACCCGATGCGGCCTCCCCCCACCACCCGTCAAAAAATTACTCACTGCGTGGAGCTCCCCATATGTGCATCCTTTTGTAATGGTAATATTGTATATGGGTCTACAGGAACACACGTAAAACACCAAGGACTCGTGCCCCAGGAGAGGCCCAATATATAGGAACAACAGTAAAACAAGTAGGACTGCTTACACAGGAGAAGGACAATATATAGAAACATACGTAGAACATCAAAGAATCGTGCTCCAGGTGAGGCCCAATCGATAGGAGCATACGTAAAACACATGGGATTGGAGCCACTCCTGTTGCCTTCTGAGGCCTCCTGCTCCTGGGGCCTCTCGGGGCCTCCTGTTGCCTTCCGAGGCCTCCTGGCACTTCCTGTTGCCTCCTGGGGCCACCTGTGGTTTCCTCAGGCCTTCTGGAGCTTCCTGGGGCCTCCTGGAGCCTCTTTGGACATCCTGTGGCCTCTTGAATCTTTCTGTGGCCTCCTGATGCCTCCTGGGACCTCATGTGGTCTCCTGGGGCCTCCTGGAGCCTGTTGGAGCCTCCTGTGGCATCCTGAGAAGAATCTGCGCCCACGAGCCTGGCCACCAAAACAATCAAACCGATCGAGACGTCCTCAAAATCTGCCCACCTGGGGGGTGAAAATGAGCGCCTCGCTCGAGACATCCTCCAAATCTGCTCCGAAAGCGAAGGATGTTGAGCCCAGAAACAAGCAAACCGCCTGAGACATCCCCACAAAATGGCCGCGAACGAGCCCGTGCAATCACCCCTGGCGGCTCCCCTTAGGGCCACGAGCCTGGCCACCAAAACAAGCAAACCGATCGAGACATCCTCAAAATCTGGCCCACCTGGGGGGTGAAAATGAGCGCCTCGCTCGAGACATTCTCCAAATCTGCTCCGAAAGCGAAGGATGTTGAGCCCAGAAACAAGCAAACCGCCTGAGACATCCCCACAAAATGGCCGCGAACGAGCCCGTGCAACCACCCCTGGCGGCTCTCCTTAGGGGTGCTGCGCCCACGAGCCTGGCCACCAAAACAAGCAAACCGATCGAGAAATCCTCAAAATCTGGCCCACCTGGGGGGTGAAAATGAGCGCCTCGCTCGAGACATCCTCCAAATCTGCTCCGAAAGCGAAGGATGTTGAGCCCAGAAACAAGCAAACCGCCTGAGACATCCCCACAAAATGGCCGCGAACGAGCCCGTGCAACCACCCCTGGCGGCTCCTCTTAGGGGTGCTGAAACCAGCGCCCCGCCTGAGACATCCTCACAATCTGCTCTCCAAGCGAAGGATGTTGAGCCCGGAAACAGGCAAACCGCCTGAGACATCCCCACAAAATGGCCGCGAACGAACCCGTGCAATCACCCCTGGCGGCTCCCCTTAGGGGTGCTGAAACGAGCGCCCCGCCTGAGACATCCTCCAAATCTGATGTGGGTTGAGTAAGTCTGAGTATGAGTAGGTCTGAGTATGAGTATGCCTGAGTATGAGTAAGTCTGTGTATGAGTAAGTCTGTGTATGAGTAAGTCTGGGTATGAGTAGGTCTGTGTATGAGAAAGTTCTGAGTATGAGTAAGTCTGAGTATGAGTAAGTCTGAGTATGAGGAGGGGAGGAGGAAAGAGGAGGAAGGAGGAGGAGTAGGAGGCGTCCAAGTAATAACAAGAACCCCATCTTAGGATATGGGGAACAATACAGAGTACACTTGGCGGCGGCGGCGGCGGCTGCGGCGGGGGCAGCGGCTGCGGCGGCTGCGGCGGTGGCGGCGGCGGCGGCGGCGGCGGCGGTGGCGCCAGCGGCGCGGCAGCGGCGGCGGCAGCGACTGCGGCGGCAGCGGCTGCGGCGGCGGCGATTCGGCAGCGGGGGCGGCGGCGGCGGCGGCGGCGGCGGGCGGCGGCGGCGGCGGCGCGGCTCCCTGCGTTCCCATGACTTGGAGTGGGGCTGTCTTTCGGCCTTCGAGTAAGATTTGCTTTCGTGCTCGTGTTGTGCACGCTTCCCACTGCATTGCGTCTTGGCCTGATGAGCAGTTGTTGTGGTGTCTTGTCTGTGGGTGCTGCGCCAGTGATGCTCTCAGGGAGTTCGCGTCTCCGTGATCTAGTCGCTTATCTGGAGCTGGGTCCCACAACCTAAGACGCAGAAGCAAGGGGCTTGTGCCAGGCAGTAGATCGTGGTGGAAGGAGCGGAGAGAGCGGAGGGAGCGAGGGTTGAGGGGTGAGAGAGCGGCGAGTGCGGCGCCCGCGCCGCGCGGCGCGGCGGCCGTCCTGGACAAGGAGGTCGCCGTCAAGCGCCGCCCTGCTTCTCTCCCCCCGCCCGTGCCCCCGCCACCGCCTCCCCCCTCCTGGTTTGTCGCCACTGGTCATCGTGACCGCTCCTTATATATATATATATATATATATATATATGCTCCTCGTCCTCCTCGTCCTCCTCGTCCTCCTCCTGCTCCTCGTCCTCCCCCTCCTCCTCCTGCTCCCCCTCCTCCTCCTGCTCCTCCTCCTCCTCCTCCTCCTCGTCCTCGTCCTCATCCTCGTCCTCGTCCTCGTCCTCCTCCTCTTCTTCTTCCTCCTCCTCCTCCTCCTCCTTCTCCCCCTCCTCCTTGGAGCAGCAGCAGCGGCCGTTGCCGCGCGCCCCGCTCAGCTCCGGCCCAGCAGGGCCGCCCCGCACGCCGGGCAGAACTGGAAGGCCGGCTGGGCGGCGGCTCAAAGGCGGAGGAACAGCAAAAGGGCACGGAGCAAGACGACGAGCGGGAACAGCAGCAACGCAAGGAGGAGCGGAGAAGGCGGAGATGGGGCACCGCTCCTCCTCTTCCTCCTCCTCCTCCTCCTCCTCCTCGTCTTCGTCATCCTCTTCCTCCTCCTCCTCTTCCTCCTCCTCCTTCTCCTCCGCTTCCTCCTCCTCCTCCTCCTCCTCCTCCTTCTCCTCCTACCGCTCCTCCTCCTCCTCCTCCTCATTCTCCTCTTCCTCCTCCTCCTTTTCCTCGTCCTCCTCGCTCTCCTCCTCCTCCTCCTCCTCCTCCTTCTCCTCCTCCTCCTCCTCCTCCTCCTCCTCCTCATCCTCTTCATCCTCATCCTCATCTTCATCACCACCACCACCATCAACATCATCAACACCATCACCATCAACATCACCATCATCAGCATCATCAGCGTCCTCGTCGTCGTCATCGTCATCATCATCAGCAGCAGCATCCTTATCAACATCATCATCATCACCACCACCATCATCATCATCAACATCACCACCATCATCATCATCATCATCAGTATCATCAGTATCATCATCATCATCATCATCATCGTCATCATCATCATCGCCATCATCATCGTGATCATCATCATCGCCATCATCAGTATCATCATCCTGATCATCATCATCACCATCATCATAATCATCCTCTGCCTCATCGCCATCATCGCCAACCACCACCACATCATCATCATCATCATCATCATCATCATCATCATCATCATCATCAACATCACCATCACCGGCACCAACCACCACCACCACCACCTTCACCATCACCGTCACCATCATCATCATCAACAACAACATCATCATCACCATCACCATCACCATCACCATCACCATCACCACCATCATCATCATCATCATCATCATCATCATCATCATCATCAACGTCATCATCATGACAGCTCCTTTATGCTAGCAGTCAGGGTGTGAGGACGGTGGGTGGCGGAGGACGCCACGGGAACGCAGGACGGGCAGAGAACATTAACTACATGCCAAGGAACAAGATTGAACAAGAAAAAAGACGGTGGTGGGGATGGCTGGATGGCGCGCCTTGAGCACCCGAACGGCGGCGACAATGCGCAAATGAAAACCGTGAAATCACAAATATCATGGCAGTTCCTTTATGCCAGCAGTCAGGGTGTGAGGACAGGCTGCATTGGGTGGCGGAGGACGCCACGGAAACGCAGGACGGACAGAGAACATTAACTACATGCCAAATCTGCAGGCATGCTTGCAAGCTGGTATCGCCGAAAATTAGAGATGGTCTGAGCAGAGGCAGCGATTCTCGCAACGTGCGCGTTGTAATACGTAGCCCCCGCAGTTGCGGATAAGAGTGAGGGGGGGGCGGGGACGTCGGCAGTTGAAGAAGCCCGCCGCAAGAACAACATTTTTCAAGTTATACAACGAGCCCGTCGCAGGCGCCGATTTTGTTAAAACAATGTAGGTGGGTCGCAGGTCGGGTCGCACGTGGGTTGCGGGTGGGTCGACGGTGGGTCGCGGGTGGGTTGCGGGCCGGGTCGCGGGTGGGGTTGGATCGTTGGTGGGTCGCGGTTGGGTCGCGGGGTGGGTCGCGGGTGGGTCGCGAGGTTGGTCGCGGGCGGGTCGCAAGGGGGGCGACGACAACAACAACAACAACAACAATCATTTTACCCGAACGCTCAGTGTTCTCCCCAGTGCCAGGGTTTTCTTGCGACACCAGCCAATACCCCCACTTCGTGGGGGGGCCGTTCAAGCTCTACCAAATATCCAAACGACTCTTCGAGACCACCCACACCCAGCTTCCCGCCCTATGACGTTGGGACACTTCACTTCGTGGCGTGCGGACGACCCTGGCTACTACACTGGCGTGGGGTACACACCCACAGAGGTTGATCACATCTGTTACATATGATGTGGTACACGGTACACGTGAGATGGTACGCAGTGCCAAGATAAAAAACCATTGGGTTTTTGATGTTTTTATGTTAAAATCGTTACGAAACCTAAGGTTTTGGAAGGATTTCGTCTTGCGAGCGCGAATGTCCACTTTACCTTATTTTTTGCAAGGGATTCTTGAATTTGATCAACTAAGAACAAGAATTTTCATTTTCTATTGTTTTTTGCAAGGGAAAACGAGCGTCAACAAAAAACCGGATCCGGGGGTAATCCACTTTTCTGAAGCTTTCGCAGAAAAATGATGAAAATGTAGCTGCGGCCTAGGTTTTGGGCGGGGGGCGTGCACCAGGGGGTCCAACAATAATAATTCTTTAGAAGTAATAGTGTTCAACAACAACAACAAGCATAATCCTCACCACGGATCCGCACTTCAGCCACGCACCCAGGGACAATGAATGACCCTTCGGCCTCCTCAGTCCGATAATCGGGCCATGGCTTTGCAAAACCTGGGCGAACAGACGGCAGCAGCGGCAGTGGCAGAAGACCCGTCAGGCCTCTTGCCGCAGAGGATCATGGGGCTTGCCTGAGTCAGCGCAGACCCCTCGCCGCGAGCCCATGCGCTTCGAGCCTCGCCGAGAAGTAGCATCCAACAACCCCGGAAGGAGGCCAGTGTCCCTTCGGCCTGGCGTACCCCGCATACGCATCGATGTGACGACGAATTCAACGGCGCGACGGCGCGACAGGTGCTTAAAATCGGGCGAAAGCCAGAGCCTGGATGTTTTGGGGTTCTCCACGGACCACGGGACTCCAGAGGCTAAAGAGGCCCCCAAGCAAGGGCAGCAAGAGGCTAAAGAGGCCTGCAATTTTAACGAGGGGTTGGGAGTCAAAAGAAGTGCTCGTCTGATCGCACCGCAGGGGGCCAACGCCATAGCCCATCGCTCGCGCGAGGGTCAAACCTGCCCGGGGCCACGGCATGCTTCTGAGACGATTCTCTGAGCAAGTCAGATCGCACTGTTCGCCGAGCGACAGGTCCCAAACAAGGGCCCAGAAGCCCACGGCGCCAGCAGCACGGGCAAAACCTCCGTGCCCTGAGAACAGCTCGAGCATCACTGGGGCCTTCAGGCTGGCCGCGGCAAAGGAAAGGGCACCTTGAACACGGGGTGGCACAATCTCTCCGCGCGCGCGCCTCCATGCCGCTGGAAGCCGAAGGGAAGCCGATGCAGAGCCTGGGTGAGACGGCTTCCCTTCTCGTAGCGGCGCGCGCTGCTCCATGTCCGCCATCGGCCGCGGCGGCGCATTTCTTCCAGGGCCCGGCAGGGGGCGGCTGAGTCGTGCGACGGCCTGGCACGACGAAGCTGGTAGAGGTGGATCGCCCCGATGCGCCCGAGCCCGAGCGCGGCCACCGCCCGCTTGAACTCCTTCGACACGTCGGCGGCCGAGATGCGGGAGAGAGAGCCGGGCAAGCCAGCAGCCCCTCCCTCGCGAGCCACCGCCGTGGCCCTCCAGCCCTCGCCCCAGCGGCGCGCCAGCATCCAGTCGAGACTTGCTGCCAGGCGCCGATGACGTGGGAGGTCGAGCCGCACGGCGTTGTAAACTCGTTCGTCTTGCAGACCTCGCCCACCTCGGCGGCGCGCCGAGTCAGGCTCCAGAAGCGGTGGGCTGGCCCTCGCGACGCCAGCGGCGGGGCGAGGTCCACCGCCCTCAACCTGTGGATCTCGCCAGGGCGGCCGTAGATCTCGAACGGCAGCCGCGCCGCTGGGGCGGCCACGTAGGACCTCTGCAGCAGCAACCAGTTGAGGATGAGGGAAGCGACTTCGATCGGGAGCGCCTGCCGACTCTTCGGCGGGCCAGGTTCTTCCAGCCCGCTGCCGCCTGCTTCGCCCTCGGGGGATGGAGCTGGCCGCGGCGGCTGAACTCCGACCGCGCCCAGGCGATGGCGGCGATGAGGCGGTTGGCGTAGGTGAGGTGCCTCCCGTCTTTGAACATCGCGTGAAGGCGCCCCACCGCCGCGGTCGCCGCTGGCCTGCGCTTCGCGCCCTGCAAGAGGCCCGTCGCCGCGGCCGCGGCGCCGGGGCCCTCCCAAGGCGCTCGGCGGCCCTGGAAGACCAGGGGGTCCAATCGCGGGGCTGCCGAGGTCGGCGTAGGCTGGGCCGGCGGCGAGCGGCCCCGCACCCCAGAGCGCCCGAGCATGCCTCAGGGCCATACTCGGGTGACGAGGGGCCGCCGATCCTCTCGGTGCCGTCGGAGGCGCGGCTGGAGAGTCCGAACCAAAACAGCGACGCGAAGAAATGAGCGACGGCTCCACTATGCTGTGCATGCCATGCACATCCTAGGTGTAGTGGCTCCCGACCGTGCCGTGCTTGCTGATGGTCGTGTCGCAGATGATGTCGTGCTTGCTACTGCTGTCATGCTTGACTAGAACGTCGTGCTTGTTACTAGCGTCGTGACTGCCACTGATGATGTCGTGCTTGCCGATCATGTCGTGCTTGTCATTGGCGTCGTGCGTGACAACGATGTCGTGCTTCTCGCTGATGTTGTCGTGCTCATATGTGGACACGCGCGCGCGTCACTGACGATGTCGCGCCTGTCACCTGGGGCGCACGTGGTGGCCTTGATGGGCCCGACCTGACGGGCCCCGCGCATGGGCGAGAGCCCGGGCTCTACGACGACCTCCGATGGCGTCGTAGGAGACCCATTTCCCCTTGAGGGCCCATCGGCAACGTTGAACTCCGCGGGGGCCCACCTCGCGCACAGGAAGGACCTGGGCGAAAGAAACAGGGCGGATATGCGCTGCACGATCCGGAGCATCGCGCGGGAGTGAGCTCGCACGCGGGAGGAGGCGGCGACAGCCGCGAGGGAATCTCCGAGGACCAGAACCTTCTTAGAGTGATTGCTCGCATTCCGAAGGCATGGCGAAGATGATAATGGACAGCTCTGGGCCCGAGAATCGGCATAGGTCCCACTCGATCCCACTTCCTCCTGCTCGTGACCGTCCAGGTCGAATGATGTAACAGGCTTCTAGGAACCTCTGGGAATTCTACGAGATCGCGCTCCAGGGGTGGCCCGACGGGCCGGGCCGCCTGGCGCTCGGCAGGCGGCCCGAAGGCGGCGAGACCTGGGCCGCCCGAGGCGGGGTCTCCCACATCGGCGGCGATGGCCTGGCCCAGCGCTCGCCGGCTGGCCGCCTGAGCGCGCCGGCGCGGAAGCGGCCTCTCGGCCCGCCCGAAGCGCCGGCGCTCGCAGAAGCGGCCTACGTAGCTCACCGCACTGGCCGACCAGGTCGCCTGGCAAGCCCCCAAGCACCAAGGCGAGGCGTCGACGGCCCCGACGTCCGTGGACAAGCCTGCACGCAAGTCCCGCCAGAGCAGCGGCGCCAGCCCGTCCCGGGCGCAGAGCTCGGCTCGCACGGCCTTGGGCAGGGCCACCTCCGCGCGGCAGGGCGTCTGCGCGAACCTGGGGCAGGCCTCGAAGAGAGAGAGGCCCTCCCGCGGCACAAGGGCGATGAAGATGAAGTGGCCCAGCACCTTCTCCAAGTCAGACCCGCGACAGCGGCCGCGCTGTAGCAGGCGCCTGATCGCGAGGCGGGCCCTCCGCAGTCGCGCCCGGGAGGCCGAAGGCCTCCCCGTGCCCGCGAGGTCCCAGCCCAGGACGCTGCAGGCGCCCTCGGCGGTTTCCCTCGCGTTTGCCACCGCGAGGCCGAAGCGGCCCAGCTCGGCCGCCGCCCGCGAGACCGCCGCGCGGACGGCCTCGCAGTCGAAGCCGAGGCTCGCGAAGTTGCCCGCGTACTGGAAGCGACTGAGCTCGGCGAGGCTGGGGGCAGGCCAACCGCCACGAAGCCGCCGGGGCTCGGGACAGCCGACGTGCTCGGACACGCGCTCCATGATGGACTGGCGCCGCCACAGGGCCCGCGACCGCCCCGTCGGCACCGCCCGCAGCCTGGGGTAGACCTTGGCCGACGGGGCGACTTTGTGGCCATCGACCTCGGACGCTCCCGCGGCGCCCGCCAGGGCGGGCCGCGTCGCGAAGAAGCGCCTGAGCTGCTCGGGCAGCTCGAGGTGGTAGAAGGCGCCCTTCAGGTCGACGCCCTCGACGGTGAAGACGCCCTCAGGGTCGTCGAGCTCGAACGAAGCGATGGGGTCACCCGTGGGCAGGGCGACGGGAGAGGGGTCGGTGAAGACGACGTTGCTGCGCCTGCAGCCGATCACCATGCGAAGCCGACCCCCAATTCTTCTTGACAAAAATACATCAACTCTCACGCCGTCCACGAGTGAGTAGCCCACCAGCTTGCGATGATGTAGGTCACGAACGACCCCCCCCCCCCAGTCTCGTGCACACCTGAGCCGAGGATCGGAGTGGGGGGCCTTGACAGAGCAGCTCTCAAGTCGAGCGGTCGCGACGTCGGCTGGCAGCGCGTTCCTTTGAACGAAGTGCTCGACCTTGGATCTCCCGCCATCGCCCCGCACGTCCGCGAGCGGCACCGGTGGCGCAGCTCCGTCGGGCAAGGAGACGAGCGCGGGGCCACGGCTTCCGACGGGGCGACTCCACGACGCTGTAGCCGCCCCCGGCCCCGCGAAGCTGCGGACGCGCTTCTGCGGGAGACAGATGTCGCGGAGGCGCGCCAAGATCCTCCACAGAGCTCTGAATGTGCATGAGCACTGCTGAAAAATAATGGCCGCCTCCAACCCGACAAGACGGATCGTTGGACCAATAAAATTAATCCACGGCCCGGGCCGCGCCCCTCTCAAAACTAACTCGCCGACAGAAGCGTTGCTCAACACCGCTCCTGAGACGACCCAGGCCTCCCCCTCGCTGACGCTGAAGATCATAAGGGTAAGGCAAGGGCAGAACGTCACGAGGAACGCGTCGACCCGGGGTGGCGGCGCGCGGGGCCCACGAGGTAGGCGGACCCCTGCAGGTGAGCTGTCGGCCGTCTGGGTACCTGCTCTCTCCAGCGGCCGGTCCTAGCTTACCCATGCTTGCGCCTGGCTTCGCGGCCCTCGCGCGCCAGACGCAGATTATTGTTCGGCCCCCCCTGTCGCTCGAGCTGGGATCTCACATGCTCGACAAGCTCCGGGCAGATAATGATGGCGGTGTGGGCCCGGGTCACGCCCGATGAAGCGGCCTGCTCCTCCAAGGTGAGCCCCGCCCGATCCCTTTGCTCTCCTGGTCCTTGGCCTTGTCCCAGTGGGCGAACTCTACGGTCTACATCCTCCGAAACTTTGTCTCGATCGACACAAGGTTGGTCCCGTCGAGCATGTCTGCACACAGGGCCTGCTTGATCTGCAACGTCAACTGGAAATGCTCCTGCACCCCCCAATCCGACGCGGCCAACTTGCAGATCGAGCGGAAGTGCTCGTGATGGCCCTCGACCCCGTGCCCTCGCTCAGGATAGATACTCCATGCACCGCCGCGCCGTCCGCGGACCTGGCAAGCTCAATCAGCTGCGTCGAACTCCCCCCGCCGAGTGAGCTCCACCATCGCCGACCAAGTGAACTCC